ATAAAATGACTTGTATTGAATGTTATAAATAATATTTAAAAAATGTAATAAATATAAAATTCAAAAATATTCAAAATGTTTTCTCTAATTAATTTAACATTTTGTGCGCAATATCAATGATAAAATGCATTATTTAAAATGCAATAAACGTTTAATTTATATCCATTTATGCATTAACAAAATATACCTATCATTTTCGAGTTACTCAATAACTGAATTTTTTGAACAGCATGACCCAGGACATATTAATCGTGTGTAATAAAGATACCAAAAATTATTGTGTGTATTAAGAGTTAACAAATCATGAAACCTTTCTATTAAATTATTGCCCCTTTCCCTCTCCTTCTCTCTACAAACTTGTATATTTAATGTCACTACTCACTTTACATGATTTGATGTGTAAAACGTTTCTGGATTCAGGAAAAATCGAAAAACAGAGATATATAAATTTTATTAATAAAAACTTTCAACATAGTCCATCCCTTCCCTCTACGACTTTAATACAATGCTCAGAACGTTCTTTTAACCATTACACAGAGAAAAGGTTTCTTTAAATTAAACAAATTTATGCAATATTTTTGAATATTGGAAGTTCAACCAAATGAATGTTTAATTTAAGAATGTTATTATTTGCATTAAAGCCAAATTTTTTTTAAACAAAATATGTATCATTTAAAATTAAATTTCAATGAAACATAAATAGAACTTTCGAATCCAAATCTTTTTTTTCTGTATAAAAGTTTTTACAGTATTCATCTTTCGAAATGTTCTTCATTGCGCTCGTCACATTGAAAACTACATATTTCGAAGTCATTTACTTTGATGTCCTGAAAATTTTATCAAAAGCATTTCCTTCATTTGCATTTTTCGAAATCAAAACCGTGTTTTAAGAAAACGACCAACATCGTCTTGATTTTGGATTTTGTCGATCTCACTTTGGTTGCTTCCTCTGAGATCAATCCAGGTTTGAATTTTGAAACAAAATTTGTTTCAGAATGTGAATCTGGAATTGATCAATACTCTCCTTGACTTTTAAGATAAAATTTGACAACAATCCGCTGTTCCATTACGAAAATTTTTACAAGGAAAAAAATTTAACGGAATGTTGAACAGTCGTTTTCAGAACATATCACTTGCAGCGTCATTAAAAAAATTGCACAAGTAGTCAAATGTTAATATTAAAAATTAGTTGTCACAAAAATGGCATTACTTGTACATTCAGGACAAAATCAGTTTCGAAACTTTTTAGACAGACCGCGCTATAAATGAAATGCATAAACATATAAATAAATAATTATATTATATCTATTTTCTCAGACATGCGTTAATTATTTCATTCAAGTATGAAACTCGAGAAAACCATCGCATTTTCGACATAAACGTGATTTGAGATGCTCATATTACGTCGATCAAATATTAGTTGAAACGTGAACTTTGCGATTGCGAATCATGAAACTTTGTACGAGTTAATTAAACAGGACACAGATCATATTCTGCATTTCTGCGCCGTATTAAGACCCGACATACGAATATGTTTGTCTTTTCCTTCCAAATTAAAACTGACGAGTTTAATTTCTAGCGTAATGAATATGGAGAAATATATTTATGCTAAGTCTAAACAATTTCTATTTTATAAATATATAAATGATGTCTTGAGGGATTGTATTAGTTTTAACTTCTGTTGTTCTATGTGATAGATCTCCATAAACACTGAAGACACAAATAAATGTGAAAATACTTACCAGAGTAACTTTTTTGCATTAAGATGTCATAACGTGTATTGTACTATATCTCTTAAAATTCAAAGCTGTTTTACTAAATATTGTTAAGATTTAAGTATTGATATATATCTATTATACAAATCACGACAGTAATATTAAATGTCTTTGAAATATAAAACATTTATATACACTGTTAGATATTGAAGGAGCAATGATAATAGTGTATCATCAAGAAACGCGATAACGTCTCGAGCCATAATAGTAAAAAAAACGTTAAAAGTGTATTCTTTCTTCAGCAAAACTGCTAACAGACATTAAATCTTTAAACACTAAACGAAAAAAATTAATTAAATATTTCATAGAAATTTTCATTCTCTTTCTTCTGAGCAGTCGTAGTTCTGTTAGACAATGATCCGTGGTTGGTTTTGAATAGAAGTAAAATAGAAGTAACATAATACAGCGATCGTTGATACGCACCGTCTGGCAGCTCGATGAAAAGATTTTAAAGAATTTATACAGCCACATTATTTCAAGAAAAAAAAAATACAGCATAGAATTAGGTTGATTGATTCTCAAGCAGCAATCGCGCTGCGTACTCGTACCTGATATGTTTGAAAATTCGGTCACAGCAAATTTCACACTTGACCACGAAACAGAAGGCGTGAAATATTGTCGAAACTCAGAACATGTACGTGCACAGCATTGCGAGAAGCTCGGCATAACTTCCGTCCGAACAAAAATTTTGCGAACATAACACGAAACTCGAATAACGAACTTCTTACCAAGTTTTCCCCTTTTATTTAATATTTTTCTTTTATTAGATTTATATTTTGTTTATAACTTTTATTTTTTAGTCTCCTTTGTAAGATATATTAATTTCACCCGTATTTCACTATTGCGCTTTAAGAGAAATCGATACTTGATAGTTTGCATTTACATCATGAGTCCGAAAATCCTGGCGTTGCGCTTTTATACTCGATCGAGCCGTGAAACCTAGAATTGTGTTTCCAATCTTCGTATATGCCATCGTCATTGTTCAAGTCCACCTGATTATTCATACAATTCGTAACTGGTAGCATTGGTATTGGAATATTGCAACAAATCCTACATATTAAAGCTCGCCGAAGCGGTTGGAACAAATTCCGGAATTTCACTGTTCGATCGAGTTTGTATGATGCTCGCAAGTCAAACCTGCGTGTGAGTACGTCGTGACAAAATCGCGATCATAAAATAATATATAGATATATCAGCAGTTCTCAATCTATATGTTCACGCTCCGTTTATTATTTATGTATTAGTTGCTTACTGTATAAATACTTTGCGGATGAATGACGTAACTCGACACAAAATCCTCTTTACTATTCAGAAGAGAAATATCATAATATAGAATGTTTGAAACGTGCAAACTTTATTATTTAATAAAATTAGAAAAATTCTGAGAAAATAAATAAGTGAAATTAATAAAAAAATTAAAATAAAAACAGATATATCGATGAAATATAACTTCATATGAAGCATGAATTTGGTCTCATCAATATTTATAAATTCTGCATGTCTTATAAAACGTTTGCTTACGCGGTTTGATTTTTAAGAAATTGGTGCTGCCATAATTTGATTGTGATTCAACTACTATTCATATTCATTTAATTGTGTTTCGTTAAAAAGACGTATGTTGAAAGTTAATAATCGTTCAGTGACTTCAATAAAGTAGAAGTGTGTAGAACTAAGTAGATTATTATAATATCAATGTAAAATGATGGGAACGCTAAATTGAGAAACCCTGAGAAACTCGTACGTAAATATCGAGAGAGACTAAGCGTTTTCAAAGTTTTAAAATTTTTAAAATATCAAAAAATTCTTTCTTGAAAGACGATTTAAGAGCAAATTTATATATTTTTTTTTCAAACATGTGTTCATGAAAATAAAAATTATGATCCTAAAAGTTCAATAAACCCCACATCTCTCTTTTAAATATTCCCATGAAAACACAGAAAATGAAAATACAGAAAAATATCTTATTCTCGATGCATAGGCTCTAGAAAATGTTTTTTTAATTCAGAAATTATGATATTCTTCGACATTTGATAACATGAGTAAATGAGCATTCAAGCTAGCATATCCAAAGTACACTGTTCCCAAAAGTTAATCTTCCGTGTTGTATTCCTAAAGCTTCTTCCTCATACTTGGTGTCACCCTGTATATCGTGAAAGGACGTAATTTTATTTATGTAACATATGTATAAGTATATATACGATATATATATATATATATATATATATATCTTTTTCTCTCTCATTCTCTCTTTCTTTCACTCTCTTTCTCTCCCTTTCTCTCTTTCTTTCTTTACATGTATCGAAATATAAATACATACAATTACACTGCGAAACGCGAGTTGTATAGCGTGTTTTTATGTATCGTCATACAAACGGCGGTCTCGGCTGCTTTTGCTTTGAGCGAAAAAAAATATTGCTATAACTTATATCCTACGTTAATACTGTCACGGCGTACTTAATCAGATGGAGACGTGTAGCGTGTAATATATGCTCGCATAATAAATACACTTCTAACAACTTTAACCCTCCGCACTCTGCGTGCCTCTTCCTCTTGCGCGGATCTCATTATTACCTGCTTTCGCGAACTTAAATTATCTTCCAGGAGTATAATCGCCCTTGTGAACGCGCGATTATTACATCTCGACATAGAGTCAGCCTGCCTGTCTTTGACGAGTCCTTTGGGTGCCGTAAACGTTTGCCGTATGTGATTTGTACAGATTATCTAAATTTCCTGCTAATTTGCGCGATACAGCGCGGTTGATCGCGGTGTATTTGCTTTCGCTTCGTAAAGCCTTACTTAGCAATTACTTGAGCTGTTCGTGCGAGAATTCAACTTTAACGTTCATGCACGTGTATTCTAGCGCACGTGTGTGTCCTCCATACAGCGCGTCATGCCACGATAGTTCGATATCACAATGCACGCATTTTCACGCACGTGAACGCGATGAATCATTGCTGCATACAACGAATCATTGCTGATACAACGAATACAACAATTTTCGCTGTCTGATCGCGTGCCAATTTTATGTATATACGAAGAAATATCTTCTTTTTATGTCAACATGATTAACAGTTAATATCTTCAAATATATTGTACATTAATCCGTCTTGTGAATGTCTCATAAATTTGAAAAAATATTATTAATATTTAAATATTATAGTCTACGTACACGCAGAAAATTTCATTAAATAAAAATATCATTTTTATTTCCATTTTTATTTTAATAACTTTTGTAATCTTCATAAATTATTTTTATGGAACGCATAAAAATCATGTATGACGTTCATTGGAAATAACATTATTTGTTTCGCAAATCGTATTTTCTAAGAGTTTTAAAATGGGAAATGTTTCGTGAGACTCGGCTTTCCTTATTCGCTTGGAAAACGATTGACACGCGACGGAATGCGAAAACCAATAGGCAAATGCAGCTGAGGTTTCAAATACAAGAACAACAGTACCTGTTGCAAGTTTGCTGAGTGCCTACAGTCTTGTTGTTACATCACAAATACGACAATTTACACCGAGTTACGTTTGCTGTCCCGTGTTTCTTCTTCAGCGGTAGAAGTGGGTGAATTGCACGCTTATATACTGATCAGCTTGCGGAAGGCCTTACGGAATTCGGGGTTGAACACAGTGTATATTACAGGATTCACAAAGCTGTTCATGTAGCCCAACCAGGAAGTGATGATGAAGGCTGTAACACCGGGTTGACAAGCCTTCGTCAGCTTCGTGCAGATTGCATCCATGATGTTGCAAGTGAAGAATGGCACCCAGCATATTAGAAAGACACCTGTGACATTTATGACTTTGATCGAAATAATTACTTCAATAAATGACGTATGATTAATTACTTTATAAAATACATCTCTTAACGTTCTTGTAATTTCTGACTTATTGATACAATTTTAATTATAATGATATACTATGTATTTGTTAATAAATGCTTACTGTTCTTTCTCTAATAATTATATCTTAAATACAAAATAATACAAAAATTTAATATTCTATACCTAATGAAATCTCGATATATATAAATTATATAATACTTTTATTGTTATCGCTCTATTAATGTTTTAAATCTTGCGTATTTAAATTTTAAACAAAAATTTAAAAAACAAAAATTTAAAACATTAAAAAAAAGGAAATTATATAAAGAAAGTTATTATATAGAAACTATCTTCATTTTAATAAAAGTCGGAGAGTTTAACATACAATAAAGATTAATAATGCAATTTGACTTTATATTCCCTATTCCTCATTTTTATAATGTAGTGTTTATTGTCGGAAATTATGAAATGCGTACGTTCTAAATTAACTATTATAATTTTCTACAAAGCAAGTATACTTTAAACTTTAACATTTCCTTCAGTTTGCAAAATACATTCTGTTAACAATTTTAACACATTAAGGACTTCAGAAACTTACAGCGTCTGTTATTAACTTATCCTTTGATGTTTTATGTATCAGAAATATTTCTTGCAAAGTACAAATTATAATCCAACTAATTTCTCTTTCATTCAACCTCACAGTGGATTTTATTCGAAACAGATTTTGACAAGTTATAGAGTTTTTTAATAAAAATATCGAGATTTTCGTATCTTTTTCTCTGTAATAATATCTACATTCTTCACGATATTTCTTAGTATTGATTTCAACGTTTCAATATTCAAGTAGTAAGTCTACATTTCGAATAGTAAAAATAGCAGTTTCGTATGGATATTTTATTGCCACTTATTTATTACTCGCGATAAATAGTTACAGAGATAAATCGCTTGGTCTTATCGAATCGTCATGTTGAACATGTAACTAATCTCCCAATCGTTCGATGTTTTTAAATAACTTGCCTATATCCGCCTAACCATGTTCAGACTTTCACATATATCCATTTACAGTACCGTCGTTCTTTCTGATTCTCGCTTCTAACTCGCAAGTCTGTGAGCTCATCAATAATAGATGTAAGACGGATCGAGCTGAGCTACTTATTAAAGCAGCGGCACGCGCGTAACTTACCTAACACGATCGCCAGAGTTTTCGTAGCCTTGCGCTCTTTCTTGGCTGAGCTTTTCTCCCTCTTCTTTTTACTAGCCTTGTTGGCCTTGTATATTGTGAACCTCGACCCGGCCGATGCGTTCTTGCGATCCTTCTTGCAGGAGGACGACAGTACGCTAGGCGTCCTCGCGAGCTGCAGCGGTAGGAGCGAGCCAGCGCTCTTCAGCCGCTTCAGCTCCTGCTTGTTCGCGCCACCGTTGTTACCGTTCCTCTTCGTTTGCGTCGAAGAGGATACGCTGGTCGGACCTCGTGTCGGTGGAGGAGACGACGAAGTCGACGAGGACGGCGGGCCCGAAGTAATCCGCGGATTCGGGCTTGGGCTTGAATTTGTCTCGAGTGGCTCGTGAATCATCGTGCTACTCGCTGCAACGTCGTATCCGCTGGAGTCCTGCCGCTGTACATGTGGTGTCCCAGTCAGCTGAGCCTGTGCCACCGCGCTAAAACGACAACTGTCATTCGAGTGTCAGACAATCCCGGCATTCATCCGCTTCGTATTAGAGTTTACAATCCGCATCACCAGTTTCAATTAAATCCGGAATTAGAAGTTTGAAATTTCGTGACAGAAACGCAAAAGTTACTATTTAATACAGAAATAAAGATAGCTTTCAGAAATTTTACATAATACCCTTGTATAAATTATTTTTTTTTCAATATTATCACGAGATAATATATTTTTGCATTCAAAATTATTACGGACGATGTCTTCAAAGATATCATATAATGCAATATTTTTTGCATGCTGTATCATCATTCGATATTCAGATATAAAATTAAATTTTAAATGGTAGTTGTGATCTTTTTCATTATTTATTAATAACTACGAATTTTATTTTCTCTAAATATTAAATTTTATATTTGTTTGAATTTTTACGTTCCTATACATTTCGAGATTTCGTCAGTCGATATTGTGAACTTTGACCCGGTCAAAAAATGATAATACGAAATATTTTTAGGAAAACGTTACAAGGAATTGGGGAATATTTATTTAACAGATCAATATGAGTTAAGAAACAGGGACTCTATTCTTAAACAAATATCGCATACGAAAATAGCAATTCCGTATAATCAACCAATCATAATCAAGAAACTGTCATTTTCGTACGCGAAAATTATTCATATGTGCAAGAATAGGGCTAGTACTTCATGCAAATGGGTCTTACATCTTTCAAAAGCAAGACTATAGAAAAAACGTTCTAAATAAATATACAACGAGATTCAATTTATTATATATAAAAAAATAGCTTTAATCTCTTTTTTCTTTTTACTGGATTTTAATATAAATCATTCCTTAATTATTATAATATATTGAAATAATTGTGTAATCATTTTTATATGTATAATTTTAAAATAATAAACTACGTACAATTTGCTTTCCACCACAAAGATGATATTATATTTCTTCTTTTTCCTTTTCATATAATTTTTTTAAAAGCGTAACTAAAAATATGGATGCGGTTATCAAGTTTAAGGATAATGATAAATTGTACCTCATGCAAAAATAATTTCATAACAACTCGATGCGAAGTCTCACGCGTCTTAAAATATATGGCAGTATTAATTTAGCGCTGAAAATATATAACCCAATTAATAACTGTGAAATGCTCATTGGCTCATTTTTAAAGGTAACGCGAGTGGCTACATGCAAATTGTTGTGGACGCCAATACAAAGAGGCCACTCCATCGCGATTAGCTCGCAAACTTCCGGATTACTATCAGAGCAACGAGTTTCCGTTAAACTAGTATTGTGCACAGGTTTTGAATAGAGTTTTGGACACACAGAGAGAAAGAGAGGGGGGTGGGGGAAGGAGGAAAAGAGAGAGAAGGAGAGAGCGGACTTTCGTATAACTCCGAGTGACATTCATTGCGATTGTGTAGAAAACGAAGAAAATAATTACGAGATCATCGGCTTTTCGCGATTTAACCTGCGCTCCCATTTACTCTCTTTCCTTCATTCACGAATTTTTTTTGTTTCGCCCTATAGTCCAACGCACAAGAACTTTTGAATGTCCAACTTGTCAGCTGTCCCGAATATCGACGTGACTTCCTGTCCGAGTTTTCCGATCGAGCGAAGTTCCAACGTCGCTCTGAATTGTCTTCGCTTCTTTATCCATTCGAGACGAATTACCGAAAGGTGCTTTTAAAAAAACTGATGTCCTACTTCAAAGGACAAAAAGAAATAAACTGAAGAAAAAATGATCATCCAAGGTGTTTAAGGAAACGTGTTTTTAATTTCTTTGTAAAAAATGCGAAATTGATTTATGAACAAGACACAGAAAAAAAATATAAACAATACATAAAAAATTATTTCGCTGAAATATTTAAAAATTTAGCTAGATAGGTACAAATCTGAAAATAATTTTGTTGAATCATCAAAATAATTACATAGAAACTCAAATATAATGAGCAATGCTGCAAAAAATTTTGATATTTTAGCAACTAGTTTGAGCGTCCTCTACATAATTATTTTAATACATTAACAAAATTATTTTTAGATTAATAACTCGAATTAAAATTAAATTTTTACTTAAGCAACCGTTCTTTCTGTATATATATATATATTAGGTGTTGGAATTAATTCGTAGGTAACTTGATAAAATAACACGTATTTCGCTACTACAGGTATATTATTACATTATACTTTGGATAGTCTAAAACAATAATTACCTCTTGCTTGAAAGAAGTCTGCAATTATTCTCACGTTACATGTAATCTGAAAAGGACTCGGACCAGAAGAGATATAAACCCGTAAAACTTTGCGACACGCGAGGCAAAAGTAATATCCTTTTAATTGAAGACTCCCAATTGGCCAATTAAACAGCTAAAACTTTTGATTGACTCAAAGCTTTTCTGTGTCGCTTCGAAATCTTAGAAAGAGTAGGAAAATAATTGTGTAATTCACTACGCGCGTCTTTTTATTTGTCCATTTTATTTAACGAATTGCTCTTCTTTTCGTGCAGCTTGCTAAAATTCCTTTAAGTGAAATTTCGCGAATCTCATTTGTTGTACGTTAAATAGGAAATAATAGCATCCGAAAAGTTCGTGGAATTCATTTGATTGAGTTTAGTTGATGGAATTCTGCTAAATATATATGTAGGTCAAGTTACACAAAGAAAATTTAATTTAGCATCAATAAGTTCTTTTAATCTTCTTTCAATTTCGCATTTCGTACTTTTCTCAAATTGTGAGTCGTAACCAAGAAGAACTAAACAGAAAGACAAGTTACTTCATGTGATGATGATACGGAGAACCTCAGATCAGATCATTTCCAACGGCGCATAATGAAAAGAAACGCGCATTTCTCTACTTCTCTACTTTACAGATGAATAGAATATCGTATAATCATCTCATTTGCCTTTCAGACACATCTAGGACTTTTTAATGTTCGTTTTATTTCTCGGAAGTCAGCAAAAGCAGATGGAAAGAGAAGTTGTATCTTGGTTATTCAGTGCCTTTCATTATTCAGGTCGTTTTTAAATTAATTTTGACATTCCCGCGATGTACATAAAATAAATTTAATCTTATAATTTATTTAATGTACTTAAGAATATTTATCATTTGAGTTAAGAGTATTTAGATAATATAAAAATGCCGTTTCTCTTCAATGAATGCAATATGTTTTTAATAATGCTGTAAATAAAAAAATATAAAATTTTATATTATTTTATATTATTTTAAAATAAACTTCTATAAAAGTTAATGAATTAAATATTAATAACTGAGTTATTGACCCTAATTTTACAATTGAGATGAATACTTATTGAGCGCAATTTATCGTAAATCAATCATACATTTTATGAAAGACCTAGTAGATGTTCTTTGACAACTCGACTTTATATTGAACTGTCATCGCAAAAGGTGCACATTTCAAATTAAGCGACACTAACGATTTGAAAGACGGTAACCATTTCAGAGACAACGCAATTTTTGCATCAATGATCGCTATGACGAGTCGCGTCGCACAACGTCATGACAATGCGATCCGATATCGTTGAAAGAAAATTCCGACATCTTCCTTCCGATCGGGATGTGCGACGGAGGTGAGGAGGAACGAGTGATAAGAAGATATGATGAAATTCTTACGCTGCTTCCTCGACGACCGTGGCTAAAAAGAATTCCGTGCTCTTGTCATTGGAGATGACGACGACGGGATCGAGGGGCGTCTCATCCTCGTCCTCGTTGCTGCCGGAAGCGGTGTTCGTCGGTTCCTCGATCCCAGGTGCCACCAGGGCGGCCGCCCCCAGCGCCGTTTCCGCAAACCTTGCCACAGAATACCCACTACGTGATCTTAGTCAAAAGCCTCTAGAAAAGCCTCTACACCTATCATGCACTTCCTTGTTTATCCGGCATCCCCCAGCGTTAATCCAGCAAATAGCGTATCTATCATGCACAAAGCGACGACACGCTTTTTGACAGCACCTGCAAGATCCTGAGTGACAGAGCGTCGCTGTTTCCTTTTTACGGCGTGGATCTCAAACGAGTCTTTAATTTGTTACGAAAACAGCGATCAAGTCGAAATATCGTTATAATTTTTCCTCTCTAATTTTGAATATAATAAATAATGTATTTAAACATATATATATTTTTTTCTTTTATTTTTATAGTATTTAAAAGTTTGTTATATCAAAATAGAAACGTATTTAATCGTATAAATATTTAAAATTTAAGAAAAAGGAAACTGAATGGAAAAGAAGAATAGAGAGAGAGAGATAGAGAGAGAGAGAGAGAGAGAGAGAGAATGGGAGAGAGAAAGAGAATGAGTGTGTGATTTTGGTTGAATGCGCAATGGTGCAAATTAAAGTCTGTTGCACGCTAATTTATCTAACTAAATGTATATTTGCATTTGATCGATAATATATCCAACAATATAATTCTGTCAATGTAACAATTTACATTGAGCATTTTATTTGCATTTAAGCACAATGTTTATCAAATGTAAATCGTTACGTTAATTTATATATAACAAGCTTTTAACATGCTAATAAATTCAACCGGATTTGCTATAAATTTTTTAATCTCTCATACAATATCTAAAATTCGTGAATTTTCTAAAAGTTGAATATTCTCTAAATGCTATTATCAAAACTTTGGCTGCTTGGATAATGCAGAATTGCGTTACAATGTTTAATTTCTGTGAACTCGCACAGAATTCGTTTTGCATTGCAAAATAATTCATATATTCGGCGAAGGAGACTGCGATTTGAGCTGCCATAAGCTTTATTAACACTCCTATCCGCAAATTGGAAGCCTCGCTGTTAAATTTTACATTATCGAACTTGGAAGTGATAGTATCCGCGATATATTGCGACAATGTATGCAGATACGTTCAATCGTCTGATCAAAGCATGATCTAGCATTTTCTCATGCACATTTCAAATACTTGATAAAGCGATACATTTAAACATACATGAATTTTTCGCAAAGAAGAAATGTTTTCACGTAAAAAAATAAATTTTCATAAAGTTAAGAATTCATTTTAAGAAATTATGATAAAAAGCCTCCAATATGCATTAAATTTAAAATAATATATCCTAATAATCTATTATTAAAATAATCGAAAGCTATAAAAAATATTTTAGGATATACCATATATTTACATTAGAAAATATGTGCAAAAGTTTATTTTTATAATATATCAAACAACAACAATCAAACATCTATAAATATTGTATGTACCACTTTAAAAAAAAAAAATAAATTAAGAGGTAATTTTATACTCATATTTGTTTTATCATTACATTTTGTTATAAATATATTTTATTATAAATAATATTATTTTAATTAAAATTATTTGATATGTACATATTCTCTAAACAAAAAAAAACTCTTTTATCGTATATGAAAGAAAATATCGTTATGTTGTATAAATATAATACAAGCAATCTCAACAATTGTAAAATGATAATCTATTTTTTCTTTCTATTTTGATTTCATTTTAATCTCAGCATAAGCAATTTCAGTTTGACATGTGTTATCATGAATAGAACAATTATTAAATATTAATCATCGACTAAAAAATAGTCTCGGGATTTGCTTAAGATTTAAGATACCGCGTGTCACGGCAACATGATTCGTGCATTAGAATGACAAGATAAATATCAAAATTTTGATGTTCTCTTGATTGAACTTTCGCATGGTAACGAAGTCGATAAAGGAACAACGTGGTCTGGTCAATGTGGATGCATGTAGGCGGATTAATCAGGACGCCAAATTATGTCGGTTATATTGCACTCTAGAGATATCAAAACGCGGATGAACTTCTCAAATTGCAACTGCGACTATAAACCTAAGTTTAATTTATCGTTCACCGTCGTTATGCATCATGTTATTGTAAATGAGGTCACCGTCAAAGTTAAAGCAAAAGCAATTATCAATTTACTGAGACGCGTTGCCTTTAATTCTATGATAGATAAATGGTGTATGAAGAGGTATTTTTCGCGTTTTTCTAAATTTTAAAAAATAAAATAAAATTCAAAAGTAAACAATTATACAAATTTGGATTGTTGAGAGAGAGAGAGAGAGAGAGAGAGAAAATAAATCTAATTAAATAAGAGAAATCTTTACTTAAATAAGAGAAATCTTAGTCGATCGAAGTGAATCTCACATACATATCTTACTTACATTTCTCCCATTACGTTTCAAGACCGAAAAAGATTTCGACACGTGGTTTGTAAAATCAGATATGTTTAAAAATTTACATTAAACTATTTAAGCACTGTTTTGATCAAATATAGGATTTCTTTTGTTTGAGTAAAATTCGAAAATGTTTTTTTAAATAGGCAAACAAAAAATGTAGGAATTTTAAAATCGTCTAATTTTTATTATTTTGAAAAAATTAATAAGAAGATATCGAAATTAAAACTATTACGAATTAAGTTTGGCCACTTAGATATCAAATTATTATTAAATTAAATTACATTTTATATTAACATACCAACATAATTGGCAAATGTTTAAATATTTTTATTGTAGAAAATTCTATTTTGTGCAGAAGAATAAAAAGTAAATTGAATCTATTAAAATTAATTGATATTATTAAAATTAATTAATACTAAACTTTCTTTTTTTGCAGTTCTGCCGATAAGCATAGTATAAGATGCAATAAAAATTGAGTAATACCTTTACTTTTTAACTTAAACGACATCTCTCGTTGTATGATAGCTAGCCCTACTTTCGGTCACTATTTCTCCATACGTGCCTCTTCTGCGTTCAAGCGTTTAAATGCTTAGATTTTCTGCGCTCTTTGCTGGAAGGAAAGTAAACAGAAGTTTGCAGGAAAATTTCGTCTACCTTGGTGGTACTCCTATCGGATAGACTCAAGTACTTGAGTTAACGAAGCGCCTTAATATTTTTGAAAAATCTTCTTAGGTAGCTAGGGATGTCGGATATTTGCGAACGTACACGTCTGTTGAGCTTTATGTGGTTCTGTGTATACATTATTCTAAAAACATCGCGGCTCCCTTCTTTTAAATCAAATTTAATAATCATCAACTTTAATCAATTTGTAAACAAGGATATGAATAAAACTTTAATTGAAAGCTACGTTTGTTTGCACATAACTTTTTAATTTTCAATATTAAATTATATGGGGCTTTCTCACTTTAAGCAAAAAATTAGTTTCCTTGAAAATCAATTTCGATTAATAGAATACAAGAGCTTCTTATCCATTATTAGAATTCAATTTGCTATTTTTTAATTTAACGCTAATGCAATCATTATTTTTTTCTAATTAGTAGTATAACATTTACAACATAGAAAGGTGATTATATTATCTGAATATTTATGCAAACAAAAGAGTCTGTAGGAGTTTTAAAATCCAATTTTGAAGAAATTAGTAAAAAAGATAAAATAATATCGCCAACATTTTAATTAAAAAGATATTGCAATTAAAACTATCACAAATATTAATCTGGCTTGTATATCAAGTTATTATTGAATTAAATTACACTTTGTATCAACATTATTTATTGTAAATGTTTAAATATTCCATATTATAGATATTATGTTAAATTTTAAATGATCCGCGTGAAATTGCTATACGCGTTCGAATTACATATGTGACGGAAACAGATACGTTAAGGTAGAATATTTTATATTTCTTTAAAGCTGTCATCGCGATACTTTGCGAGGTAAATAATCCTTACGTCGAATTCGAGCTGCAATAAGGTTATATGCGATTCTGATGCATCGAAAGTAAATGGCAATGCACATAAATAAACACGAATACTATTATCTTGGCTTACGACATTACGTATGGTACGTGCGAATTTTATGCAGTTGCGGATATTCACTTTGCATGATGTCAATAAAATATCGCGAAAAACCTCTATCGCTATTATATTTTAAACACTATACTTAGAAACTCTACACTTAGAATAATTGAGATATTCCTGTCTCTTAAAATTAGAGTAATATTCATTATTCTATACAAACACATATTTTTATTTAAATTAAACATATCATTTCTTTACTTTAAAAGTAATATAACTAAAAAAATTAAGTTTTTCAATTTTTCAGTTATTTTTCAATTTAACAGAAAATTATTAACTATAATCTCTCTAATCTTTTTAGAATGAATCTTATTCCAAAGAATTCAGAGATAATTAAATAATATCAGCAAAAATCTTCGTAGGATATTAAAATTATCAAACTAAAAAAGGAATAAATTAAAAAAATTTTTGTTGTTAAATTTTTTTAGTTTGATAATTTTAATATCCTACGAAATTGTAACGAAATAATTCATCAAAAGTGACATAATGCGGAATATCAATAATTTATATTTATTTTGATCGGACTAAATTTAAAGTAAAACAATTTCTTCTTCACTTCAATCATCAAAATTTTACATGACTCTAATCCTCTTTAGAAAATTCTACTTTATTTATAAAAACTGCAAAACTTAAAGTGTGTTGTTCTTGTAGAAGATAGAAGTATTATAATCTCTTTGAAAACACTAAGAACGATATAAATACTGTTTGAAAAACGGATTCTGAAGTTAATTTACTTTTGGTGATTGATAGAGTAATTTTTACCTAGTTAATTTTGGTAGTACCTAATTCGAAAATATTATTAAATATTTTTAAAATTGTATTACTTTTGAAATAAGAAAACAATATTATATTATAATAATCCAAAATATGTGGAACATTTTCCTCCATTCGATTCATTTATTCCCATTCTAATTTTATTCGACATTCTTATGCATATCAATCAAAAACTTTACTTAATTTGCTATCATCTTTCCATTATAAATGTCAAATGTCAATAAAGAATATCTTTCTCGGTAATATTCAATTTGCATGAACTTTAACGCAAAGGGACGAACAAGGAAGATGTAACGAGATGCATGCCTAGAAAAGTACACGAACAAAAAGACTGGCGATTAAGCGGCGTACAAGTAGTTTGCTATTCAAGACGAGACTGCCCTCGTCAGCACGACGGAAATGAAAGCACGTGCGAAGCGGAGGCGTGCGAGAAAAGCGAATTATCTGGGGGATGCTCGGGACTTAACCCTCGGCCGCTCCGTATCTCAGCTCGCGCCAGCTGGCGCCAATCTCCGCGAGAAATTGTCTCGTTGGAATGCGAGCCTTACGCGGTCACGAAAATTGAAAAGAATTGCGCATTGCGCGTGCGACGTGTTCCAAGTGTCGTCAGTCAGTTCTCGTGCTTATCATACCGACAAACGGGTCGGGTAATGTATAAGAGAGCATATGAATAAATTTTCACCAGTGGTATTTTCTTGGAGAACGATTTATCCGCAGACACGCGAATCATGCAAATCAATCCTGATTAGATCTATTACGTATATCATTTCAACCACAAGCTTTCTTATCTATTATAATTTCGAGATAGTTTATATTAGACGAAATTGTGAAAGATCAACATTTGTTAAACTACTTTTCAATTTCTTAATGTTGTTATAATCTTTGTAACAAATTTTTCTTAAAAATTAATTAAGCTAAAGATATTCTTATTTTAAAATAAGTACATTATATATGTATAATTGCTCAGAAATTATAAGTATCATGAAATTTTTTCAAAATCAATTCTTCTTTGAAATATGTTGTTAAATATAAAAATCTAAGGGAAATCTAAATTTTTTTATATCTACCCAATTTGAAGGGTAAAAAACAATTCAATGACAACATATTGTATTACATTAGAAATAGAACATTTTTTAAGTAACACGTATAATGACATATCTATATCAAGATCGAGAAATAATACATTTTCTAAGCCTATTTTTCGGATAAATCTGTTGCGCTATTAAGAATTTAACAAACAGAGAGAAAGTATCGACAGACAGGAAAAGTTAAAAATTCAAGAATGTATGGTACAAGGTTCAAAGCTTGGGAATGTAACAGTTCAAAGATACATAAAGGAGTACAAGTAAAAGATTTATAAGTCGCTGTGTTTAATTTCTAAGCATTGTGCTTGTATCTTGCTTGTATTATTGAATAATTGAAAAGACACAAAACATCGAAAAAGCACAAATATATTTCCAATTTATCTGTATAAGATATTAGGGTCTCTCTAAACCAGAATTTAATTCGAGCTGTATTAAAGATTCCGTCCGTTTAATTTTTTTACGAAATTGCATGATTGTAATATGCATTGATTGTAATATATCAGAGAAAGCAGAATTAATAATATATATATGTGTAATATTTGCATGCATTACATGCGAAACATCAATTTTAGTAAAAGATACAGCACAATATCTTTCATTTATCTCGTAATAAATAAAAAGTACATTTAAAATTATGAAAATTATGAAATTATTATTAAGATTAATTCTTGTTTTTCGATTAAATAATTAACCATAAAATCAAATATAATTTAGTTCCACCACAAAATCAAATATAAATTAGTTTAAGAATACTTTCAGAAAAAGAAAAAAAAAGAAATAACAAAAATTAATTGTTCTTGCTGTAACTTCTACAATATAAAAAGACAGTATTTAATTAGTTAACGAGTTATTTAAACTTAGTCAAGTACTCACCTACGCGTGTGTGCGATATTCTCGATGATACTCCCCGGTTTTATATCGCCTAAATTCGGTTTTTTAGTAGCACGAGCTCTTCTTGCTCTGTTTCGCAGAGCCTGAAATGGTCAATTGAAAATCTACATTGTGACATAAATCAGAGGAGTTGCAAACTCGAGACGTAAACGTATAGCATAAATCTTTGTGCGAGATTTCTGTAGATAACATTCGAGACGCGTTATCGAGCACCTATCTACGGATAACGAGATTTATTTCGACAGTTTTACGGAAGAAAATTTCTGTGCTACTAAAGCATTATGATATTTTACTGTTGATTTAACTGCCATCGAAAAAATTTTGTTCCTTTAAAAAGAAATTATATAATTCTCGATGTTCGTATTTTATTCTATTGCGTTGGAAAGAATACATTTATTTTTTTTTCAGAAATAATACATTTTTTTCACAAATAATTATAATCACAAAAGGGATTTGATTTAACTTATTTTTTTACTTTAAACTACTAATATAATACTACTTTAAAATAATCAATATGTGTGTGAACGAATAAATTATTACAATACATACTGTAACTACATGAAAAGTTTTGCTGCAATATCTAAAAGTTATTATAAATAGATATATAGAAATTTAAAAAAGATTTTATTAGAACATCAAAATTAAATGAGCAGAATGCTCAAATTGGTTGCCAAAACAGTATATCAAAACTTTTGCAGCATTATCGTTATGTTTAAACCTCTTATTAAATTATTTTGGTTCAATATAATTATTTGTATAATCTTGATATTATTTTCAGCTCTTATATATCTAGCTCAATTTTTCAGGTCAGCAAAACTATTCTTTCTGTGTATTGAACAGCTATTCATATTTTCTTTTTAAATTTTTGTTTATTTATAGTATTTTTCAATATTTAAACAATTAAAATGTAGAATTTTTTAAATATTTATATTAAAAATCACAAAGCTAAAAGATATAGAAATAAATTTTATTTATAAGCAAAGAAATTTTTTTACACATTGTTGTGTATTGTGTACGTGAGTACACGTGTCGGTCCAACAAAAAGATTATTGATTTCTTTTGAATAAAAAAGAAAAAGGAAGAGAGGTAGATGCTGCTATACAAAAATTCCTTTTGTTATTTCTTTTAAATTTCAGTAGATTCTTCTTTAAAAACTCGAGTTCTTCGTCTTTCCATCTAAAGTTATATCCTTTACAAGTTTTCTACAAAGTTCAGCGGATATTTACAACTGACAGTGATGCCGCTCCGATTTTGTGAAAGGTGTAATGTCATGATATAATATCACGCACGAATAATGATAATATTATATTGAAAATACAAAGACTACATATCAATATTATTATGGTACTTCGCGCCGATATTATGCGCGTACAATTACCGCAAGTACGAAATTAACAGTCCAATCGAAATGCTCTGTACGCTACGAACGTTGAAATTGTCCAACTAGCTGTATTTACGATCTACCGCAATATGATAGTAACCGCTGTATAAACCGCAATGCACTTTGCTCCATCTGCGTCCGAAATTTATCGTATAAAATTCGAACGCAATTTTTATTATGAATATATCAAATATGAGAAATTCCCGATGGATGAAGTTGATTTTATAAGCTTGTTTATAGCAAAACAATTCGCCATGAAGGCACATCATATTATTTAAATATGTGCTTGATTTTCAAAATATGTAACATATTCATACAGTCGCATTACGATTTTATTACGACTGTGTTACAACTACTATTTTAATTATTATGGTTTGTCACATCTCTTTCCTACTTTAATTTCACAACGAAATATATTAAAAAATTCCGCGCTGTCGGCAACAAAGTCGGATTAATTTTAGCGGTATCGCACACAGCGCATACGTGACAATTAAATTAGAAGACAGCAGACTCGCCTTTGCAAGAGCTACCTTTCATGGTACAGCCAATTTCGCGATTGGTTCACGTTTCTGAAGTAATCATAGAGATAAAAGAGGCACGAACAAATTTTTGCCCTTTTGTAATCGAGCTAGAGATAATTTCTTTTCCGTCTTGTCATCGCGTGTGTCGGTTCAGCTACAAAGACAGCTATCGATTTCTTTTTGGAATAGAATCTTTGTAATAAATTTCAGTACGCGGTCTTTATGCAATTGCTATGCGATAGCTATGTTACAAAAGCCATATGCTTTAAAATTCATTGTAGATATAATTTCAACGTCGCAAATTTTTTTGTCTAAGATTTTATCTCATTGCAGCGTTAATCAATTTCCAATAATATTTAAAATATGGCGATGTCAATTGCAATCAGGTTTAGAAATTTAAGTATTAAATTGCAGATTTTTTTATTATTATATCAAAATTTGTTTGTGTCGTTCACAATTTGTATGGGCGATGGTAATGACGTTTTATTTAATCTACGTGTTCGTTTAATACGCAATTTCGATTACCCGTATAATCCTATATTTTCCGCTAGCCAGCTTGACCTATTAATACCAGCGTTTCTCAACCGCCAGTGAGAAAACTTGATCTCTCGTTTATTATACGTATGTTCATATACAATAAGAAAGTTTTACAAAAACTTTAAATTAAAGAAAAAATATCTAATCTTAAATTTTATGGAACCGAATTTAAGAAGTTTTTTTTTAAATTGCAAAACAAAAATGATAAAGATGACATATTCGATCATCTTAAGAATATATTCCTTTTGTTAATATTATTTAATTTAATTAGTCAATAATTTTCTATAAAGTCAAAAAATAGTTTTTCTCCTTTTCTGAGAAACTTAATTTTTTGAATTGTGTAATTTGGAAATAAAGTAGCGACGAGTTGATTGATAATCGAGGCCGTGCCTCAGCCAAAATTGTGAGAAATATATCTTATTGTATGACTGAATAAATGCTAACATACTATATAATATTTGGCATAAAAAGTACTACTAAAAGTAGAAAAAATGAATACTAGTACAATTCAAAATGTTGCAAGCCTATTATGTAATTGCTATTTTCATTTGAATAATATTTTATATTTTTAAATAAATTTGTAATATTTTAAAATTTTAATAACTTTAAGATAATTTTTGAAAATTAGAAACCTAATTAAAAATTTTTGCCAGAAGTTAATTGCTCATATTTTTAATTATTACAGTAATTCTTTGTAGAATTTTTAAAGCGATAATTTTCAAGAAAATAAATTTTTTCTTTCTTCTGAAAAATTTAAAAATAGCACTTACGTTTTACTTTGGCATGCCTCAATTATTTATACTCTACATGCATCAGTTGATTCTTATACAAAAAAAAAATATAAGTTTATACAACGGCGTGTTAATATGTGTTGCCGCAAAAAAATTACATCGCTCTCACCTTGAATATATTGTAGTAAAGGAATACCATGATGATGCAGGGTATGTAGAAGCTGGACAGACTCGAGTAGATGATAAAATCCGTATTATAGAACAGACATTGGTCCGGTATCCGATTGGGAGTATTATTCAGGCCTAGGACAATCGGGCTGCCGATCGCGGCCGATATCGCCCAGACCAACAGTATCGTCAACCATACTCTTCTATTGTTCTTGTGCTTCGCATACTTTATCGGTTGGGTCACCGCTATGTATCTGCAATTCAAAATCGGTTTGTGTTGCAATTGCCTCCCGCATTATATCGCAAAATCATCCATACAGATCCAGCTCTTGTCTCATCCATTCTTCAGAATTCTCATCTCGTACGATATTAACATATGTTGTATTTGTTATTCCGCTATTATCATTAAAGCCAACTGTCGCTTTTGACAAAATTAATTTCAGAATAAAGAGGAAATAAATTTTAAAAGTGTGTACACAACTCTGTAGAGTTGAGAGGTAACTCTTTTCTGTTACAGTTAGAGCTACTTTTTTAGTAGGTGTAACTTTTCAGTAACTTATAATTACGTTGCTTCTTTCTATCTTATATAACTGTAACTTACAATTAATTAAATTTCTTAGTAACTAGTACTTAATGCAACAGTTACTCTATATATTTTAAATTTATTCAATAGGTAAGTTAAAACGAAGTGCCCAATGAACAATATATCCGAATAAAGCCCAGCACTAAATAAAATTTATTTTTAAATTTATTACTTAAAAATGCATTTCACGCCTCTTCTATTATAGAACTCATTATTTTAAAAATATTAATAAAAATTGGTTCCTTAACAATTTGCTTTAAATACACATTTTTATCATTCGTAAAAATTTCTGGTTGACTATATAAACTTCTTACGAAAGATTGAAAAGGCCATAAAAGGATATTTTCAAGTCATTGTAGTCTCTTGAAATTTCCTGAAGTTCGGAAGACATGTTATAGAACAATTTTAAAGTTTAAAGTTTCTTTGCAAAACTCTTTCAAAATGTTTTTAGTTTTTGGCATCTCTAACAATCTATCGTTATAATTGTTTCAAATAGAAAAGTGTTTCAAAATTGCTCCAAACTTGTGCATTAATGTGATTTTCGTTGCGATTCAACTAACAACAATTTCTTTCTGTTATTTCTGTTTCAGTCAAGTATAAAGACGGAAACATAGCACTGATACATAACGATCTGTCGTCATATGTATTAATATCACCGAATATTCTTCAATCTCTTGTTTATCTCGTTATCAATTTTTATTACATTACAAATAAGCTCTTGTGAATTATATCATTTCGGAACAAAGAAAGCAATGAGGGAAAAGAATAGAAAAATTGTATTTTCAAACGACACAAAATGAATATCATTAAAAATGCAATTTATATGCATTTTTTCAGGTATAAAATATGTATTTTTACGTATTTTATTTTTAGTTTTAAGGCTTATTTAAACAAAAGTGGTAATTTATAATTTAAATTTTAAAGGAATATTGTTTTCAATAAATGTGCGGACTTCTAAGAGTCATGCCGAAAATTATACGAAACAAATAATTATATTATTATATTTCAATTTTGTAATTTTTTTTCCCAAAGAAAAAAAGAATATAGTAAATATAATTATACAATAAGAAAATCAACTTAAATCTTATATAATAACGTTTAATAAAATAATTTTAACCATTTATTTTTTTGATAGGTCTTATGCCTAATTATTCGCGACGTAAATTTTTATTAATCTAAAAAATTGTAGCAAATTTAAACGTATCAGTACATCTAATTCTTTTTCGTTGCATTTCGAACATAAGTGCGATTTTTGTCTACATTTTATTCGAGACACGTACATCAGTAAAATCCCCTTTTTCCTGATTTCCAAACTTTCTCGGTAATGACCATGGCTCTTTTATGACCATGAGAATTGGCGAAAGCACATGTCTTGATCGCTAATGTCTTCTACTATCGGAATTTAAGAGAAAACGTGGAAGATTGTAACGCATCTCTATTTTTACAACTTAATTTGGTTTATTAATTACATACAAAAAATTTATCAAGATCTTGAAATTTATTTAATAATAATATATATCATATTTGTAATATTTGATATTTTATAAGAACTTTTAAATTCTCTAAATAAGGAGCAAAATTATCGGAATATTATAACAATATATTATCATTTGTTCTTTTAATCGAAAAATGTCGATGAGTTATAATCTTTATAAATACTAAATATTTAGAGGAATGTGAGTTATCTCAGGAGAGTTTCCAAGCTCTTAAGTATCTTCAGATTGGTATTTTCATTCTCGTGTAAGCGAAGGAAGAATGTTTACCTGTCTATCGAAATAGCCACGAGATTGAATATAGAGCTGGTGCTGCACGTCACATCCATTGCGATATAAAAATCACAAACAAACCCGGGTAAACTCCAAGAACCATTCACCTGCAAAGATAAACAAAAAACTTAGTTAATTTCAAAGAAAAATCACTAATTATTATTAATTACACATTTATTTGATATTATATAATACATTGCAAGACTATATTTTTATTATCAGTCATTAGAGTAATCTTATATTATTAAAATAAATGTCATAAAATTTTATTGATCTCTTAAAAATATTACTATTGAAAAAAAACTATCATCATCTCTAATATTTTTAAAGCATGGTGTATTACATATATAATAATTGTTCAAGATATTTGTATTCTCTATCATAGACATTTAAAATGTCTTTTAATATAAATGCTAATACGGAAATTCAATTATGAAATTAAAAAAATTAAAGATATGTACAATTAGATGCAGATGATAAGCGTAAATATTAAGTCTAAAACATGGTTCTAATTAAATATTAATATTTATCTTATTATCTACTATTTTTGTTCTGTATAACTGAAGATAATTTAAAATAAAAATCACAATGTTTCGTTATACAAGCATGGACTTGTCTTAAAACTATTACTTCATATTTGCTTGTTACCTCTGTGTGCTTTAGGAATATTATTATAAGAAAGTATATAATATTATTATTAAATTTTATGAAATTATATATGTATAAATCATTACTCTGTTAATATTAAATAATAAAAATCTGTATATATGTTTATTAACATGTCATACATTTTTCAACATCAATTAATGCTCTTGTATTACTTTTTATTGATACCAAAACAATTTCGTGAATTATATACGAATATTTGAAACAATTTGTAATAATAAACATAAAAGAATAAATATATTAAACTTAATAACGGCAGAATTTTTTTAAATTTAGTAATATCACAGCAGTTTAGTTTAATTTTAATAATTAATCATCGATCTTACGACCGATTTGACGCATTCAAATGTGTGTTTTTCGAGAACTCATTCCACTTATCTCTCCTCACAGATGAAAATAATAACGTCGCTCGAAAATCACGCGCGCACCGAAACGATCATATGTCACAGAGCGATTTTGCGCATCGCTGGACAAGCATTGTATGCATGGCTGCCAACAAATTTCAAACAAGGACTACGTGTATTTTTCAAGCGGACTACAGTCCGCCATATTCCGATTACATCGTGCGTTAGTGCAGTATATGTGATGCGTTTTATCGTCGTGGCCTATATTACGACGTCGATTATTTATTTCGATTTCTCCTTGCGCCGCGCCTCACAAAATGTATCTCGCCTGATAAGATTGGCTCGTATTTCCGTATGAAGTTTTCTCGTGTTTATTGCACACATTCGCGGTCGAATATGTAGATATACGCAAACCCAGTATTAAAGTAGATCGGTAGATCAAATAAAATTCACATTTTCCTGATATTCAATAATTAATAAAGAAATAAACCGTGAAGAATATTGATTTAAAATTAAATTAAGTAATTTAGTAATATAAAAATAAAAATATGTATGGCTTTAATAACAAATCAAATGTGAATAATATAAGCTCCGCGGTTGTCGATGTGTCAAACAATCTTGGAGTAATAAAAATTTGATATTCTTTAATTATAATTATTGCGTTGATTTTATTGAAAATAGTTTTCAAAAATACATCATTATGAGAAAACGTGTATGTGTACAAAAATATAAGGCAAATTTGTAACTTTCTTATTTAAGATTAAAAGATTTATTAACGATAAGATATTGCGTGTTATTCGTGTTTACTGAAAAGACGAGTTATTCGCAAGAGAAAACAAAATAAGAGTCATTGATCAAACATTTTAGGCAATAAATCGAAAAATAAGCGATTTACGCCTCCTTTTCAACATTCTATCTGCATTTCCTCTACCAGTCGCTCTATTCTTTTTATTCATTCAGGAAAGCACATTTACTCGGTGGCCCTCGTGGATTTTCTACAGCGGAAGCCAGAAGAGCCTTGATTTATTTGCAACGTTCGTGTCTCGTGTGCAAAATATCCCGCGGCCGAAACCCGTTTGAAACACTCGGTCACATTTCCGTCTCCACGTTTATCCCTGCAGGGCTGTTTCCATCCTGTGACATGTTTGCGTGAGTAGCTCCGGATAATAAGATATTTCTAACACGACATAATTATTTCATCGATTTCCACACAATTTACCACATATTGATTTATTGGGCTCTCAGTTCGGCTGCATGTATTTTCCATGTGTCGAATTTTCCAATGTGTACCAATCATAACGAAATGGTTGAAACTTTAATGAAAAGTTTGTCTCTTCAGGACTTAAAATTCAATCGAAATTCTGAAATGCGTGTTGACTGTGTCTACATTCTCATATGCGAATTCTCCGTTATTCCTTTGATAAATCCACTATTGTTGGGTGTATTGGAAGATTGTTTCATCCTTCCCAACTATGTTATCGCACGTACGAAAATCGATGAATTCGCGCCAAAGGCACGTGCGGGAAAATTTATTTATATTGTTGCAATCTTACAAATATAAAGCTAAATTGGCAAAAAAATTCGTATCACTACACAAAAATACAAATTTATTCTCCTTTTTTTGTAAATTATTTTTCTATAAATATATATATTTATTTTTTTTTAACTATTGAATATGTTTCTTACGCTTGCTGAATTACTTTCATGTTATTCGAGTCACACATACTGCAAAATATACATATTTATTATGTATATTTAATATGATTAGCGTAAAACTTGAATCCTTAATTATATTTACGAACGCAGCATTTGAGAGTCCATACATGTGATTATATCGCGGCTGTTACACGTGTTTCAACGTACTCCGCAGAAGAATATATAAACGCAAATATAAAAGATGAAAACCCAAGTTTAAAGCGGAGAGCAGGGAAATTTAATTCAGACCGTTTAAATATGTGCAATCTGTACACGTAATGTCGTCCCTTGTATTTTTTCTCGGGTAAAAGGAGCAGAAAAATGATATGAGTGCGTTGCGCTTCCGCAGCGTACGCGGAGCGGCAAATTTTCACTTCTGTAACTCTTGGTTATATATGCGGCGCAGGATGTGCTCCACGGGTAAACATACGTATGTGTGAATACAGAATAATATTCCACGGTTATATAGGCGTACGCGGTACGGCGTTATGCATTAGTACAGGGACTAATATAGGTATTCTCACGTGCTATAATATAAGCATGAATCGCAGTTATTGTGATATTTCAAACTGCTTGTTAGCTACATTCTCATCGTTTTCCTAAAAAACTTGAATTATCTAATTGCACATACATTTTATGAGGCTGTTAAACTTTATCTTCTCCCAGCAGGTCGACAACGCATCCATTAATTTCAACATTTATTGATTCCCATATTAAATAAAAATATTACAATAAAAAATCTTTTACTATATGTTATATCTTTATAAATTTAATATCATCCATCTTAACAGATATTTTATTATTTGACTCTATATTAATTATTTACACACAAATGCTTTACAAACAAAGCAAAAGAGAGACAAAGACAGAGGAGAGTGCGTGTGTATATTTATTTATAAACTAAAAATTATAAAATAAAAATACAGACACGATCTATTCATAGCAATATTTAATCAGTAATAACCCGTAATATTTATTACATACAAACAATTTTTATTTTAATTTAACATTTTATAGGTCAGTAATTTAAATAACAGTATTCATTATTTATAACTATACATAAATAATTATTAATTAGTATTGTGTAGATATGTGCATTTACATTTATATTGTTATTTAGATCTGTTTAATAATTTAATTTTAATATTTTTACTATTATTCATAATGTCTGTTCTATTCTACTTCAAAAATTAGGAAAACAAGAGGAAATTAGCAAATGATGATAAGTAAGTTAACAATTCATAATAATTAAATAAATCAACGTATATACCATGTAGTGAGACTTGTACAGTACATTTAACTCACATAATTAATTCCTTAAGTGTCGCTGTGTCATTAATTATTGGCAATCTGCGTTGCACTGTCTTGCATTAAAAACTAGCGCAAACTAAATTTCCGATAACGTACAGCGAAGTAATTATTATCGCCCCTCGTAACTTCCCTTGTTACACACCCTATCCAGAGCGTTACACCAGTTTATATATATATACCGGCTTTCGCAAGTAAAAGCGCACGTACGCGACTCCATCTAAGATCAACGAGTTCCCGCTGTGTTTTTAGCAAATGCGGCTTTGCGTTCGATTACAATCAAACTCATAATTAGGCTATAACCCGCATGATAAGCGATGTTTACGAGCAAATGAAGTCTGCATTATGAGCGTGTCGGAGTTTCAATGACGAAAGGGTCGACCGCATGCAATGCGTATGTGGCACGCGAATTACGCACGGTGAAACATATCGTGTTTTTCCATTTACCGTGATTAATTATTTAATTGCCCATGTAATTTCAAATTATCGTGAAAATTGTTTCTGTATTAACAAAACCCGTACCGTTTACCTTTAATATAAATCTTAATTATTTAATCGATTGATTTATAATAACAAATATTTAACGGATTTATATTTGTTTTAATATTAATAATTATATTTATTACAATTAGAATAGCTTCACAGGAATAATTTTAAAATCAAATTCGTTAATTTAAATTCAACAATTCAGTTTATGCGCGCGTGCGCGCGCTAATATAATGGCAGAGATAGATTGATAAACGTAATTTAAAATATTCGTTGCGTATCACACGCTAGTTGCTTTCCACCAATAATTTCTTAGAAGTTGTTGTTATAATTTCTAACAACAATAAATGCAGTTAAATAAAAAACATTATACTGTAAAGAAAAGTGATACCAATATAGATAAATATTATTTTTTTCGATAATGGAAAATAATAGGAAAATTGTATAGTTTTCTCAAAGAATTTCGTTTTCGCGACACAACGAGATATATTTCTCCAGAATATAGTCATATATGAGAGACGGCAATAATGATATCTCTCGGGAAATATTTCACATTTCTCATTACCACATTTGATCAAAGTAGGTTTAACTCGACTTTGTAACCCATG